AGTTCCAGTCTGAAAGTGTACGTGGAGCATTGCGAATATACTCTGTGCTGTCTGTCTTTACCTTTATCCAGCAGCTTTCTCCTCACTGCAGAGCAAGTGTAGCATAGTAGTTAGAATATCCACCTAGGACTGAGGAGATCAGGTTCCTTTCCTTTTATTAATAAACTCCTTTGACCAAAGGTCTTAAGAATGGGAGACCAGGCTCAGATACCCACACAGCCTTGAAGCTTGCTGTGTGACCTTAGACCAACCTTTGTCTCTCAGCCTAACCTAACTCACAGAGTTGTTGTTCTGGTAAAATGGAAGAATTGAGGACACTAGCCCTATACACAAGTTACAAATGACACATGTACAATCTGCACAGTGTACACTTGATATAGTCTTTACACACATGTTGAGTAATTCTCATGCTACCTTCAATGCACGTATAATTGAATGTGTGATTGAAAACCAACATTTATCCACATACTGGTTCCCGGTTTGATTCGTAAAGTGAACATACATTGGCTCTTTCTTACAAAGAGATGTATGTGTGTTCACCATAATGTGTGAACATGGTTTGTGTACAGCAGCCTGAGCTACTTAGGTAGGATAAAAATGTAACGGACAGATAAACATAACAGTACATGATGAATAATAGATTTTCTCTCCCTAGATGTTTTCTGAATTTTATTCAGTAGTACATTTTTGACTCATTTACTGCCAATCCTTACTTTTTGTTTTAAGACTATGAGGAATTTCAGACAGGCGATATCTCCCGGTAGGGAACCGGTTCTCAAACGGGTTCTGGTCTGTCATTTCAGGCATAACCCGTTTGAGAATCGGTTCCCTACCGGAATGTATTTGCCATTTCATACACAAAAGCTTCTGTCCCGTTTAGGAACCGGGACTGAAGCGTTTTACCTGTCAACCGCTTCCGAGTAGTCTTCAGTTCCCTCTCCCGGTTCTGTTACGCTTTTTTCCCGCTGTTTTTCGCCTGCGCTGGCTTTTTTTTTTTTTTTGAACGTTCAATTTATAGCGTTATAGCGATGTAACGCTATACCGGAACTTCAAACTGCACTGGGATCACTATTGCGATCGTTTGGAGTTCCGGTATAGCGTTTTATCGCTATAACGCTATAAATCGAACTTTTAAAAAAAATCAATCACCTGCACGGGAAGAAAACGGCGGGAAAACAAAGCGGTGCAAGTCTGAAATGCCAAACTGCTTCTGATCCGGCTCATTTCCGGTAGGGGCAAGCCATATGTGAAATGGCAGCCCTGTACTGGTTCACTTCAAAACGGATGATTACCGTCTTGAAACCGGATGAAACTGGGTAATGTGAAATTCCCCTTTGTTTTGGTTTTGAACTTTGGATGCCATGCAGTTCCCTACTTTACAACTTCTGTGCAGAAATACATGATCAGTCATATTTACCAAACCAGCACTACCATATCTCCTACAGAGACTGTGTCCCTATCTTTGTCTAATGTACACAAACATATAACCCAAGGATTGTTCAGTGGCTACAATGCACTAGGGATATGATTTTTTTTCAGAGACTGTCCAGAAAAGTCCTTTGATTGAGCTAGTTATGAGCCATCCATATTTAAACAACCTGTCCTTTTCATGTTGATCACTAGGTGGAGTTCTTACTGAAGAATAGAAAGTACTGAATAACAACCTGAAACAGGGACAGAAGATAAATTCTGTCCAATAAAAAAGTATAATGGCTTGTGTTAGATCGCACTAACAAAGGACTCTTAGAGTGATTCAGCAAGTGATTCAGCTTTATTGGAAGTAACGAACAAGCACTCAACTCAGTAAGAAACCAGAACAGAAAACAGTGGGAGCTTATGCTCCTTTTAAACATAACCGGGCTAATGTAGCCACGCCTATTTACAATTAACAACCAATGAGATTGCTTAGTTAAGGACCAATGGGAGTCTTTCCCTCCTAGGGAATGGTATCGTTCTGATTGGTCGCTGTTACGAAGCGACCAATAGGAAGTTCGCTCAGAGGAGCCCTGGTCTGGCTCGAAGCTTAACATAGGAGTCCTATGAGGTGATTCATGTAATCGTTTCAATACATTACAATTCCTCCCCCCTAAGTTAAGTCATCATCCATTTGTTTTATTATTTACATACATTCAAGTCATGCTGTTGTACATCAACTGTTCCAAAATACTTTATTACAATCGTAGTCTTTTAGATAAGTCGGCATCTGCCGCGTACGCTGAGACCTGCGAAGCGGTGCAGGCTCTATGGGCACACAAGGTTGTGAGTCACTGTGGGGTTCACTACAGCCTGGTTCAGGCACAAACTTTACTGGGGTTTCAGCCCCGCACCCAGGGGTCTGCCCTGACTCGGGGACAGTACCGGGCCTTTCGGTACTCACCGCCTGCTCTGGGGGTCTCCACTCAACATCAGGGAATTCAGCCGTCGGAGAAGAGGAAAGCACCCAGCCTTTGGCTCCAGTCACCTTCGTTCATTTTCCCTAGGGCCTCTTTTGCCGTCCTTACCATCCGTTCGGCCTGGCCATTAGATGCCGGATGGAAGGGGGCCGAAGTCATTTGGCGGATGCCATTACTCGTGAGGAACTGCTTAAACTCCTCAGAGACAAATTGAGGCCCGTTGTCACTGACGAGGACGTCAGGCAACCCGTGCGTGGCGAAAAGATGGCGGAGCGCATGGATCACGGCTAGTGAAGTGGTTGTTTTCATGCGCACAACCTCTAACCATTTAGACATTGCATCCACTACTATGAGAAACATGTTCCCCTGGAACGGGCCAGCGAAATCCAGATGCAATCTGGCCCAGGGTTTCCCTGAAGACTCCCACCTCTGAGGCGGAGCTTGTGGGGGTTCCGGCCTGACTTGCTGACACTGGGAACACACGCGAACCCAATCCTCAATCTCTTTATCCAGCCCAGGCCACCAGACATACCCCCTGGCCAACGCTTTGGTGTGCACCATTCCAGGGTGCCCCTCGTGCAGAGATTCTAGAACTCTGTTCCTGAGCTTGTCAGGGACCACCACCCTGTTGCCCCATAAAACACAGCCCTTAGAAATGGACAGTTCACTTTGGCGGCATTTGTAGGGTCCAAATTCAGGTTCAACACTCCCAACTGGCCACCCCCTCCAAACCCAGTTTAAAACACGGGACAGCACGCTATCTTTAGCCGTGTGTGCAGCAATGTCCCTGGACGATACAGGAGCCTGAGGGAGTTCGTCCAGTGCCAAGACCTCACAAGCAGGAGCAGGGTCGGGTCCCGCACAGGGCAATGGGCAGCGGCTGAGGGCGTCCGCATGTCCGATTGCCTTCCCAGGCCGGTGTTCAAGGTCATAATCGTACGCCTGCAAAAAGAGCGCCCATCTAAGCATGCGCGGGGACATGATATTCGGCAGTTGCTTATCGGGTGCAAAAATCCCCAGTAGCGGCTTTTGGTCAGTGACCAGCAAAAATCGCCTGCCAAAAATAAAGTCATGGAACTTTTTGACAGCCGCTACTAAAGCCAGACCCTCCTTGTCAATCTGGGCATAGTTCCTTTCTGCCTCAGAAAGAGATCTTGAGTAAAAAGCGATTGGCGCCTCGCTCCCATCAGGCATCAGGTGGCTCAAAACCGCGCCAATTCCAAACGGTGAAGCGTCCGCAGCTAACACCAGGAGCTTCTGGTCATCATAATGCGTCAGCACGTCATTAGACACCAACAGCTCCTTAACCCCCACGAAAGCCCTTTCTTCGGCCTGTCCCCACTTCCATTTCGCCTCCTTATGCAAAAGTGCGTGCAAAGGGGCCGCCACTGATGCCTTATGCGGTAAAAACGCATGATAAAAATTGAGGAGTCCTAAAAATGATTGGAGCTCCTTCTTACTCACCGGCCTGGGGGCGTCTCGGATTGCAGTCACCTTGTCAGTAGTGGGGTGCACCCCGTCTGCATCAATCCTGAAC